CAACAGTAAAAGTTTAATAAAGCATGAAGACAATTCCCTGGATTTGAAACGAAACAACAAGAACCGTACATCAATTACTAACTCCAAAATAAAGAAGAAAAAAAGGAAAAAAAAAACTTATGAAATAATTAATATTATTCAAATTGAAGTAACTATGGAATTAGCACAATATAAAATTAATTAAATCAATTGTATGACAATAACTAGACATCTATGTTGAAAAGATTAATGTCACGGACCTCATAATATTATGACTGATTTCTTATTTAAATTTCTCACCGACTACTTTTTAAGATAAGTTACACAGTTACTTCTCAAAAATCCCATTGTTTAATTACATGTTATATACATGTGATAAAAAAAGATAAAGAGTTTAATTATACAAGAACCTTATCAAGCAATCTTGCTGTTGTTCGTGGAGCTGGACATTCGACATTATTTTCAACTGCTAACTTATCAAAGAATTTATTTGCTTCTGAAAATGAAGAAAATGTGGAATGATAAAGTAAATATAATTTTAGAAAATCAGAAAAACTAAGGCATAAATAATATAAATGAAATAAAATTGCAGAATTATGAACAAACCATCGGTGTCGAGAGTGTTAGCTGGAGGGAATTTAACACCAAGTTTTTCTTGCAATCCATCATAGATATCTACTCGTTGAAAAGGTGGAGTGAAATCAACCTTGGGAAATAAAGTCATATTTAGTAAATCTTATTTTTCTGATCTTGTATTAGAATAGAAGAATGCGAGTCAGCACATGACCTAATAATTTTGCATACAATTAACTCAATTAATTCACATGATAAGGAATAGTTGCCAGGTATTCATCAGATCATCAGATAACTCCATTAACTCACTATATAACTGAAGAAAAACTTTCATAAGCTTACTTCGTATACGGGTTCCTCGCCTATACCATTCGGATGATATTGAATTTTGTAAGTTCCATGTATAGAATAAACCAGTCCTACAAAACACAGTTGATACTATTAAAATAAAGTCTGTTAACAGCTACTACAGATGACGATTTCTTGATCAGCATGCATTCAACTACTGGGATAAACTGTAAGAGAGAAATAAGCCATGTTTTGTCTTTATCAAAATTATTACGATTATTAAATATAAAAATTATATCAGAAATCTTTACTCGAAAGCATATCCTCAGTAATTTTCATTAAATCCTCATAGTCTGCATAAGCCATGTAAAATTCGCATGTTGTAAATTCTGGATTATGAGTTTGGTCAATCCCTTCATTACGGAACACTCGTCCTATTTCATAAACACGATCAATGCCACCGACCACCAACATCTGCAATTGAAATAAGTAAATCATAAAAAAATATTTTGAACAAAAACTCAATAACAATTTACATTAAAAAAGAATTTATTGTGGACGGCACTATTAGAAGCTAACTAAAAGCCAAAACTTTGAAGTACCTTCAGATACAATTCAGGTGCAACTCGAAGATAAAGGTCCATATCGAGGTCATTGTGATGTGTGATGAATGGTTTAGCTGTAGCACCACCAGCTATAAGATTCATCATGGGTGTTTCAACCTAAAAATACAAAGTTATCATCGTAATTATTGACCATTAATCACAAAATCTAACATCTGCAAAACTGAACAATTATGAAAAAAATGAGCAGTTGCATATTGGAAAAGAAAGTTTGTAATGCTTTTTCATTTGATCACTTACCTCCAAGAAACCTAAGTTATCAAGATAACGTCTCAAAAAACTGATTGTCCTCGACCGAGTCACGAATTTATTCTTGACATCGGTATTCATGATTAAATCCAAATAACGCATCCGATATCTACAACAGATCTGATTTCAAACAACTAATCGAAAATATTCGCTTAACAAAGCCCTTAAATCACTTTTTTAACACATGAAAACACCAATTTTTAAATCTAAAAACAGCATGAATCAGTAGAAGGAAATTCATAAATTAATCCCACGCATTTACATTTTGAGCATTCAGTATTAATAATATTTTTGCACTGAAACATATAAATTATATAATTTCAAAGAAAACACGATTAACTTCACGACATACCTGGTCTCTTGATTTTTCAAACCGAAGTGTGTATGTGGCAACATGTGCAAACATGGAGTCAACTGAACGATCTGAAGCAATATAAATTATAGTAAGAAAAAACTGGCCTAAGTAAAATAAAATTCAGTTCAGATCAAAGAAGATCCTTCAGTACTCACCTCTCGTGGTATAATACTCAGTTCGCCAGATTTAGACCTTGCTGGATATCCATTCACACCAATAATATCTCCTCGCTTGATTCTATCATGAAGACTGTCAAATGACTCATCGCCACTGTGAAATCTATAAACTATGAATCAATCTACAGAAGCAAAAATAATTTCCTATCAATATCAATCTACCAGATAATTTCTAGATTATGAACCTAGCATTTGCGAGTACTTGTAGACGCGTCCCTTCTCCATGAAGATCATAAAATATTAATTTTCCTCCTGATTCTCGTTTTGAAAATATTCGCCCTGAAAACTACAATTTAAAAAAACCAATTAAACAATACAAACAAATAAATCAATAGAGAACACTTGCCAGCTACACTTTGAATACTGTCATTTAATATGACATCCTTCTCCAAACTGTCATACTTTTCGATAAAATCGGTTAAAGATATCGAAACGTGAAATTTGTGGGGATATGGATTGATGCCTTTACTTCGACGTTCGTTAATCAAAGTTGTTCGCAGTTTGAAATACTCCTAAAGTACAAATAATTGAAAAATAGCAAAAGTTTTAAATCAATGAGCAGTTAAACTGAATGGAAATTGATTTTACACAAAATCTATAATTACAATAGTTAATTACTTTTCAGCAATTATAAACAGTTTAAAAAAAGAAGAAGCGGCAGATGAGGAAAAAGACAAAAATTAAAGTTTGAAATTATTAACAATGTTGAAGTTATGCAACAGATACTAACATATGCAGTAACCTGAAATGGAAAGATTCACGACCAACTAACTTGTGGGTCCGATGGATCCACCATTTTTTCATCTCGCTTGCCTTTTTCCATTGTTGCAGCAGCTGCCGCAGCTGCAGCACGTTGCAGTTCTTTCTCTGCTTTTTCTTTCAGCTTCTGCTGTGCTTTCAGCTGTCGTTTTTGTTCACTGAGAATATATTTGTAAACGGAACTATATAAACCAAATGTTACTAAGATGGCAATTTCATCTTTAGTTTCCATTAATTTCACTCATATTCAGCTAAACAGTCTCACTACTCTAGCTGAAACCAACCTGAGACACATTCAACAGTTATATACCTTTCACATCGTTTCTGCGTGACGCTTGAACCACTGACGTATCGTAATAGTGATCGCGACACAGCATGACAATCTAGTTGAACACGCCGAACAATGTTTGCAATCATTTGTCAAACAGTAAAGATGGTATCAGTTATTGTTGTCTCAACAGTACCTTAGAATGGCACCATAACTATCACTTTACTAAGTATTGTTCTTACAACAAAAAGTTACTTACTTTTTGCTAAGTTTCTTTTCCCCCACTGCTTCAGTTCCCGTCATTTCCACCGCCAAATAGTGATTCTTCCACGTTCTACTGTATTGTCGATTATCTGCAATAGGCTCCAAACAGATACTATTCCAAATAGAAAAAATACAGAAAACATAAATAGAAACTAAACGCAACTACAAAACTAATACAGCTTACGCTCAGTTAAACTTAAAAGAATCCCCACACAAACAAATACCAATTCTAACCAAAAACATAATAAAGAATCCCAGAAAAAAAGGAAAAACAATAACACCAGGATAATAATAACTAGTAAAATAACAGCGAAAAATAGAAAACATTCTGTGAAATTATTAGTCCAAAAATTCTTCGTTTAAAAAAATAAAGATACTAAAAATTTCGAAAAACAAAATTACAGAAACCACTGCTTCAGTAAAATAAAAATATCATGTATATAGCATTCCCGCCATCTCTAGAAATCAGGAAAGATACCCATGACCACGGGTACGAGACTGTCAACAACAGACCAACAATAGGACAGTGTTTAGCCTACTAATAATGCCACTCACTTGTCTGATAGTATTGGCTCATTATTAGTGATAATGTAAAAGAGTGAAAGCTAGAGAGTGAGAGCAATATAAAATATTATAACAAATAGTCAAAATAATCGTGCAGAGAGTGATAGGACTAAAGGATACAAAGTGTGAAGAGATTGCAGAGATTAATGGAACTCTTATGGAAATTGAGGTAATGCAGCGATCGAGTAAGTGATAGAAAATGATGGAATAGGAAAGAACGTGAGAAGTAAATTAAAGAAATGATGAAATAGTTCTAGATACCGAGAGTTAGACAGAATGAGAGTATCTCTCTCTCTCTCTCTCTCACATGGTTATAGTGAGACATTCGGGGAGAAATTAGTTAGTGGACGAAAGTTTGGAGTGAAAATATTTGTAATTTCTATTGACACTAAATTTATAGCTCATTGCTTTAGTTTAGGAATTTTAACATTTGTTAATTTGATAATTTCTCAATCGATAATTGATGAAAAGTTTGGATTGTAACGATTGCTGATAATGATGAATGACATTGTCCATTTATTGTCATATAGTACTATTTACCATATATGTATTTATTTATTTGCTTTTCCTTTTAAAAAATTGAGTATGTTTGATGGGCGATTCAAAAAACTGATATGAATTGATTAATTGAGCAATGAGCAAATTGAAATTTTCGAATTTTTTTTTTAATTTTTAATTTGATTAGAGATTAAATGAGTAGAGCAGTATTTTTATAGCTGTATTTCATTATTGCATTCTTAAGAATAAACTGAGTAGTTTTTTTTTTTCTTTTTTTTTCCTTTTAATAAGTAATCTTTCATTCTTATATTTAGTTTTGTCGTTATGTGAATAAGGAAAAGAAAACTCATGTAAATGCTTATTTCACAAGTTTTTTCTGTAATTGTCTTTAGAATAATTTAGATATGTTTGCTGGATGTCCATTTAAGATATTGGAACAACCGAAATTCGTCTATGATGGAAAATGGTTGAAAATGCGTGAAGTGCGATTTCGCAAATCTGATTCCTTACCAGAACAGGTATCACATTACCTTGATTTTAATAAATAATTGCAATGCATTCTCAATCTTATTCTTCAATTTCTTGCCTTAGTTTAATTAAATGCGATCAAGTTGAAATATATAATCGATCGGATGCATTGTTGAACTAGAATTATGAAAGAACATCAAAAAATATAGCTATAGCGAGGCATCCATATTTCGAGCTGATAAGGTAGTTCTGGAATTTACTTTTTCTGTTCAAATTTACATGATTAGGAGAATGAAAAATAAAGGATGCTAAAGAAGACAAATAATATAGCTTAACTTCTTCCAATTAATCATGTATACATACTTTATAATCTATCAGGGTCATTTTTTGATGCTGCATCAAATTTATCTTGTTTAGTCATTGTTTGGGCATAAATGCTCCTTTTTCCTGTAGGTAAAACGAGTTGGAAAAAGTATATTTATTCTTAAGTAAAATAAATTTCCACATCTACCAATAAAATTATGAACTGGAGGTCTGGGAGTCTGTTCACCGCCGAACTGTTCCAAGTTCGAAACCAGATGGTGTCGATGTGTTAGCAACTTTGCATAAAGATGGCAAAAAGTACTTTATTCTCATCAAACAGTATCGAATTCCTATGGCTGGCATGTGCTTGGAATTTCCAGCTGGTTAATGCAGTGATTTTGAATAGTTTCTTTTTTTTGCAGTGGTGACTTGAAGACATAATGACAATAGTAGTACTGTTCTGGAAATATAACTTTTTTTCTCTCTTCATTTTGAATCATTAGAATAAACTAATTTTGCATTCTTTAAATATCGTAAACGCGAAGGATTTTCAAATTATATTTCTTATTTTGATGGAATTTTGTAAAGCTCTAATATTTTTAGCAAGAGTGTGAGGCACAAATTATTGTTAATAAATGTCAGATTTCTGAATTATTTACAAATTTTTTTAAACTCCATAATTTTTTTTTTTTAGTTTAAATATGCTTGTTTTCAAATTAGGTTTAATCGATGAAGGAGAAACTGTTGAGGCTGCAGGTTTACGTGAATTGAAAGAAGAAACAGGTTATACCGCTACAAAGGTTTCTCTGATCATTTCTTTGCTAATCTTTGATGAAAATCATATTCCTTCATGTTCTAACTTTCTTCATCCTTTCTGTTTATTTCTTTTGTAGGTTTTATCGTGCACAAAAGGTAAACAAGGCTTAAGCCCTGGTCTTTCGGATGAAAGCGTTAATTTTATGATAGTCGAAGTTGACGGTAATGCACCAGAGAATAAAAATCCAAAACAGAATCTGGATGATGGTGAAATTATCGAGGTATATTATTTTCTTTCCTTTTTTTTAAATATAATATTTTGGAAAGTTGCTTTCTCCCCTAACAGGAGATATGAATCAAGAATTTCAGACTGATAATAATGAAGCATTTAACAGAGAAAACTATACATTAGTTTTTTTCTGAAGAGCGCGTTTGGGATGCACTAATATTTCCATTTCTTAATACCTTTTCTAGTTCTGTATTAATTAATCATTTATTTAAAAATTTAAACTGCTTTTTTTTCAGGTCGTACTTGTTGAATGTGACAGGCTTTTGCCATATGTTGAATTAATTTGTACAGAAGTTCATGTGGAATCGATGTTATATGCATTTGCTTTGGGTATGAATTATGCGCAGCATTTTCTGTGAAATCCTGTGTGTATCTTTTCATTTATTTTGAAAGAGATTACGGTTTTAATGTTGAAGCTACCAAAAGTTGTATCACTTATTTGCTTTTGCTTTTATGTAAGAAGAGGTCTTTGACAAAATAATTAATTTTTTGATTATAATTAAATTGAATTTTCAAATTAATATGCTAGCTTTGTTATGACCACATGTGTTATATATACATTTTATTGTACCTGTTGTCAGTTGATTTTATTATGAGTCGGATTTTTATTTGATTCCGAAGGAATTCGAATCAGTCCTTAATAGAGAAAAAAGGGTAAAATAATGCCAAAAACATATGCTTCTTTCATTTTTGTATAACTTGTGCAAAGTAACCTGAAAATCAATTGTTTGAAACAGATGGTTATTATATTCAGAAACTAGCTTATGAGCGATGTTTCTTTTAAAATTGGATTTTATTTTATCTTTGTTTGTGAAAACAAGATTTCCCAGACTTGTATGTGATGCAGTTATTCCGGTTTCAAGCATTTTTTTTCTTTTAAAACATGTTCGAGCTTTCCGTTCCACCCTTTTTTACTTTGTGTTTTCTTTTTAGTCTACTTTTGTATATCAGAATTTTAATAACTGGCTTGCTTAAGTTTAAAACCATTATAGAACTGGGTAACTTTTATGCATGAATGTTAGGAAATGAAGTAAATGAATTCATTCCCTTTTTTTTCCTCTTGAGAAAGGAAATTTATTTCTGTACTTGATACTTCATTAACTGATCAGAAGAGCTAAATATGCGTTGTATTAAGAACTAAAAGTTAAGATCGATGAAAAATTGTTAGTTTACTTGCAGTGGATTTAAAATCCTTCAAAGCTAACAGAATTTGTACTTTTCTAGACACGGTAAACTGATATTTTTTTTTCTTTCTCTCCGAAAATTTTTTTTTCTAAAAGAATCTGAGATCATTTTCAGTTGTAATATTTGATTGATGAGAAACACAATAAGATATTATGATTGTATTGCAATGAATCAAAATGACTAATATTCCATGACCTTTCTAAATTTCTACAATTTTAAAACGAGATTTATTCATGAAATTATCACTGAGCAATAATAGCATGTTTCTTTCTCTCAACATCTAAACAATGCAGCATCGGCTATTGATTGATGAATTTATTTTTGTCCCTAAAAAAGTACACGGATTTTTCTTTTTTTTTTTTTTGCCTCATTTTTTTTCTGCTCAAATGACCTACCTATCTGCGCTCTTTCTGCTCTTCTTTCGATCCCTCCAAATAGTGATGTTGTGAAAACAAATGATGAAGTATTTGATTTGCATGATATTTAATATGGGAATATCTACTCCATATGAATCAGCCATAAACAGATGTCTTATTTGGACTGGTCAGAAATATCGAATTGCAAGTGTGTCTATTAAGTCATTAACTTAATTATATCAGTAATTGTGAATTACAGAAGCTTTACAAAAATTGAATTATCCCATTTGTTAAATATAATTTCTCAAATTAACATAAAAATATATTGGATGTTAAAATATTAGGAAATGGAATACAATTTATCGGTTAAAATTCCTGCAAGTAACAAAAATTATATACCACGAAATAAGGTAGCGCCAAAAGTTGAAAAAAAAAAAAAAAAGGAAAGGAAGAAATGGTCAGTGAATTATGGGATACAAAGTTATTATACTGTTATAGAATGAAAAAGATATGAAAGAACAAGGTAAGATGTTTATGTTAATTATAGATGTGTAAATAATTATTTGAGAGCTTTTTTTGTTTCACGTCTACAATTTCTTACGTGATATTTCACGTATGCTTATGTAAATTTTTGTTAACTAATCATATAGAAAATGGAATCTTTTCATTTTGATGAGATTTCATTTTCTATGTAAGTTTTTTTTTTTTTCTTATGGACAAGAAATTTTGATTTTAAAAAGATGAGAAGAGTTGTTATGATTAGAAGAAGGTCATAATTGAAAGAGTATCATAGCTTGCTTATGATGATGTTAAAAGAAGAATGAAAAGATGCTCTTTTCGATAAAATGTGAATTGAATAAACAACAAACGACATTATAACGAATGATTTTTAGATGGGAAATAGTCGGCAAAGTTATTTGAAATTTCTTTAATTTTATTTTGGTTACATTTAAAATGATAATAAATTAGTTTGTCAATTGGAAGAGATGAATTCTGGGAGAGAATTAAAGTAAAATTATCATTGTAATCATTTTAGAAGAGAGTTCCAAAGATTATGAGAAGATATGTTTATTAAGTACTTTTTTGTTTTTTTGTTTGTTTTTTGTTTTTGTTTTTTTTTTTTTTTAATGTGAAATTATTAAAATGTATTTGAGAAAACAAATTACAATTGCCAATTGGTACATATGGAGAATTGATTACATATGAATATATCAAAAATAGGATAACAAAATGTTGTGATACAAATGATAATATTTACCTTGCTGCTTGCTAAAATTGATAATATAGGTGTGGAAGTAAATTTAATACAGTTTAAAATTTAACTATAATATTTAGCATGAAAATTTCACCAATTTAAATAAATTTATTCATTTTAAATATATGTAAAAAGAACCTATAATAAGAGGTGTAAAATTAATGAATACATGAAATAAATAAATATTCCAAAATTGATGAGAACTTGTTAGAGTGATGATGATATGTCTTCTTCAAATATTTCAACTGCTTCTAAGTCATAAACATTTTCATTTGCAACGGTAATGTTGATGATGACAATAGCTGAAATTAATTGATAATTAAATATTGAAATGTAACGAATGAGCATTTCTTTATTATAGTTATATAATTTTAAATATTCCTTGCATTTTTTATCTCTTTCTTTAATTTCAATTTTTAATTATTATTTTGAAATTAATGAAATGTAATATAATAAGCTAATAGTACAATTTGAAAAAATTATCATATGTATTTGTTATTTTATGGAACAAAATTTTAACTGGAACATAATTTTAACATAATTTCAATGTTTATTTTCTTCTTTGAATTTCTCAAATTTGAATACAATTTTTGAGCTTTGCAATTTTGAAACTTGAATACACTCAATTTGAAATCATTTTTTATTCAAAATAAAAAAAACGAAGAAAAAAAAAATCGAGAAAATGCATTTTATGATACTACTACCAACAATTACAACACTATCAATTTTCTCTCATTTGTTATGTTCGGTCATTTCTGATGGAATTTTACTCTGATAGAATTTAATTCTCTTTCTTCTGTATTTTTTCTTATATAATAATTTTGAGGTTATTTTCGAGAAAAATTGATATCAGATAGTTTATGCAAAACGAACAAAAAAAAGAAAAAGTATACATGAAGTGCTACGAATGGATTGATACATTCCGATCGCTTAACTGATAATCTTACTATCATAATATTAAAGTTATTTATTTTTTGTATAAAAAAAAAAAAAATTTTTTTTTTTGATTTCGATGATTATTCTATTGAAGATATCTCGACATTATCTTTTTTGCCCAAAAAAACAAAAAAAAAAAAAAAAAAATTTGTTAAAATGCTATGAATAATGAAATTTCTACGTTGCAATTGTAAAAAACAATTTTTTTTGCAAACAAATAATTTCTCATTTCATCATTATGAACTATTCAAAAGATAAGAATTTCTAAAATTTCACAATTAAACTACTTTCAAAATTTTAAAAAAAGTTTATTTATTAGTAAAGGTATTAAAATTTAAATTACTGAAAAAATATGAATAACTTTGATAAATTAGACAAAAAAGATTAATTAAAATTAACCATATTGAATCCTTCCAATATTTGTATCGCAGTTAAAATCAGAATACTCAACGGCTAGTTAAAATTCATTTTGTCTCATTACAGAGAGGTGTTTAATGACGAAGAGGTATTCATAATAATTAATTAATAAAGTACAGAATACTGCAATTCATAAGAATTAGTAATATGGATAAAGCCAAGATGAAAAAGATAATATTTGTTGTTGCAGAAAAATGACGAAAAAAAAAATTGAAGTGATAAAAGTGCAATTAATCAGTCACTTTTGTGTGTGGGTGGATTAAACTTATCAGTAGTTATATCAGTAATGATTTTCGGGAGAATAATTTTTTTCTTTTTCTTTTTTTTTGATAGCTATGCGATGAATACTGGCAGTAATGGAAAATTGAGTGATGCTAATTTCAAGTGCTACAAAAATGCTTATCTTTTTCAAATGACAGTTGGCCAAATTTATATTAGGCCAAAACATATACTACAGAAGAGCTGATCCTTCTCATATTTCTGTGAGGCCTTTTTTGTTGAACATTATCTAGAATAGATTTCTACTATTAGCTATCAATCATTTCCTGTTTATCAATTTCAAGAATTAAAAATTCTACAAGTTTTTTTTTTTTCAATAAATGAGAGGAAAAGATATGTAAGCGCAAAAAGTTAGTTAATTCATTTCTAGTTTTTCTTTTTTTTTATTAAAAAAAAAAGATCATTGAAGAGAAAGATTGTTTTTAAACTAAGATTTTAAAATGTTAAAATGTATTTGAAAACATTCAATTTTGAAATATTGACAAATAGAGATAATTCACTTATCAGTGGAAATTAAAATTTTAATTTTAATTTAATCATTTCTGGTAGAAAAATCGATGAAATATCCAAATTTATCATTTTGTTTATACAACGAAAAAAAAAAAGAAAAGTGATATAAAGTTCCATTAAGCTATCACCAAGTAATCTTCATAATTAGTTAAAACAAGTAAACTTACCGGTAGAGCAACCGGATTTGTTATCGTTGCTGTGGTTTGCAGATTATCATGAGTGGGAATAGTTTGACTTGCTATTAGATTAGTAAGCATTGTTGGTGTTTTGGTGAATAAAACATTGTTGTTATCTTTTGACAGGTTGCTCAAGTCTTCCTTCACATCCTGATGCTCATCAATACAATCCGTCATCAAAGTGACATGTTTGTTTGACGGAGAAGTTTGATCCGTTAAACCGAAGATGACACCAAGTTGATTGT